TTGGAGTTGATAGATATTGGTACAAAAGCATCATCTTCAACATCTTACACTGACATATTTTCATAAGTTTCTGTATGTCCTCTCTATTCTGTGTGACTGCATTTAGCTTAGTTTCTGTCCTAATATCTATGAGCTTCTCTATCTTACTGTGATCCAGGGCCGCCATCAGGGGGGTATGGCTGATACACATGTGAGGGGCCCGGGCAGCCCACATACAGTGCCCGCACAGAACCCGCAGTCCACCTGAGAGCCAGTACAGTGCCCATACAGAGCCCGCAGTCCACCTGAGTGCCCACACACACAGAGCTCTCAGTCCACGTGAGAGCCCGCACAGAGCCTGCAGACCACCTGATAGCCTACACAAAGCCCACAGCCCACACAGAGCCTGCAGTCCACCTGAGAGCCTGCACAGAGCCCACAGTCCACTTGAGAGCCTACACACAGTGCCTCCACAGAGCCCACAGTCCACCTGAGAGCCAGTACAGTGCCCTCACACAGCCCGCGGTCCACCTGAGAGCCCACACACAGAGCCCTTAGGCCACCTGAGAGCCTACACAAAGCCTGCACAGTGCCCGCAGTCCATCTGAGAGCCTGCACAGAGCCTGCAGTCCACCTGAGAGCCCACACACATACCGCACAGAGCCTGCAGTCCACCGGAGAGCTCACACAGAGCCTGCAGTCCTTCTGACAGCCCGTGCAGAGCCAGCGACCCACCTGAGAGCCCACACACAGTGCCTGCACAGAGCCCACAGTCCACCTGAGAGACCACGCACAGTGCCTGCACAGAGCCCACAGTCCACCTGAGAGCCTGTACACAGCCCGTACAGAGCCTGCAGTCGACCTGAGAGCCCGCACAGAGCCTACAGTCCACTCTAGAGCCAGCGCAATGCCCACACAAAGCCTGCAGCTCACCTGAGAGCCCACACAGTGACTGCAGCCCACCTTAGAGCACGCAAAGTGCCTGCAGCCCACCTGAGAGAATTTCCGAATAACAGAAGTGACGAATGAAAACGAATCCGAATTTCCACAAACGAAATTTCGGATGAAATTTGTTAGCGGTAGTCTGTACAAATTTTCATTGCAGCAAACAGACTACTGCTAGCGTATTTCGTCCGAATCCCGAAACGAATTGACTTTCGGACCCGAATCCTGAAAAACAAAATAACGCAAAATCCGAATCAAAACGAAACTAAACAAATGTTTTGCCGTCGCACATGTCTACAGCCTACTTAGCCCACCTGGGCCCAGTTTTTTTTTTTTCCTTAGATGTGCTAGTAGATGGATGAGGGGGGTTTGTTTTTGCTTCCTCTGGCTCAACAGTGGGTAATTGTGGGCATAGCGTTCTGTTTTTGTTTTTTTCTTATCTCTATAAGTTGAACTCGATGGACTTGTGTCTTTTTTTAACCTGACTAACTATGTAACTATGAGGGGCAGTTAGTAAATAGTTAGTGCAGTTAGTAGGGCTGCAGCTAATGATTATTTTCATAATCGATTAGTCTCTCTCTCTCTCCCCCCCACAACTAACCGATAATGAGAATAGTTGCCAACTATTCTCATCGTTTATTATCGATTAGTTGTTGCAGCCCTAGCAGTTAGTGTAAGTGAAAAGGGAGTGCAGTTAGTGTAGGGTCCTGCTTGACGTATTTTTTGGCCAAAATATATTTCCTTACTCTTAAATAATGAATGCACTGATGACTTGTAATACACGTTTCGATGTTATATATTAAGTTGTAAGAGTGTTAAAATAAAAGTGGGTGCACTGAAGGACCCGGTGGGAGGGTCAGCGGGTGGACTCAGTGGATAGGCCTATGGTGTGTTGGTGAAGGGGGGGCAGGGGGCCCTGGCCTAAAGCTGTGTAAGGGGCCCCAAAGATGGCAGCCCTGCTGTGATCATTAATGTGACTCTGAAAAAATTGTGTAGGACTTAGCCTACCATTTTTTCCTCACTCACTATACCCTATCCCAAACATTACTTTTTTTCAACACTTTTTTCAAAACTGTTTTGTCTCTGCTAATGTCACAATTGCTATTCTGTAAAATGTGCTATTAAAGCTGAACCCCAGCATTACCGTCAGTCTGCACACAGTGATCTTCTAACAGTCTGCAAAAAAGCTGCAACAAATCAAATAGAGCCTGCTTTATTTTCTGGCTGGAGCATTTTTATCATCATCCAGGCCTTTACTCCCTAGCATTACTCTCTCTGACCCACCCTTTCATTCACTGGATTTCAGTTCTTCAGTCGTGGAGGCTCAGGATCACATGTTTGCCTTACCTAAGGAAGTCTGCATGCAAATGCAGTCTGCCTAGAAATACCCAGTTCACCATACCGACAGCTGCCCGTGAATGCGTTTTGATATTTGTGTAACAATATTACATTTTAGCTTTAAGTGAATTACAGTTTCTGTGAATTAAATGATGACTTAATTTCCATTAGTATAAATATTGAGTGCTTGCTTATTTTTATTTGTCTACCAAAAAAAAAAACAAGTAAAACAATCTAATTTCCCAAAAAAATTGTTTTTCTGTTCCTAGATATGCATGAAACCTGGAATTACATTTGTTAACCAAAAACAGAAACAATCAATATTTGTGTTTTAATTTAATTAGGGATGCCCCGATACCAATACTAGTATTGGTGTTAGTGCAGATACTAAGTATTTGCTCCAATACTTACATGCATTGCAGTAAATGCTCCAATAGTTACCTCCGGTACCGTAACTTCCCTCTGACCGGCAGTGCCGCGAGGGAACATGGAGCCGGGTAATTACTCGCCGACCAGGCTTCCTGATTGGCCCGGGAAGCCTGCTCCATGCTGTTTGGCCAGCTAGATGCTGATTGGCCCGGAAGTCGGCTTCCCGACCAATCAGCATCGAGCTGGCCAAACAGCATGTGTTTGGCTTCCCCAGTAATTAAGAAGCTGGGCAGCAAGTCATTACCCACTGCCCGGCTTCCTAATTGTCCGGGAAGCCGGCTCCATGCTAGTGGAAGTACCAGTATCGGTACATGGTATCAGCGAGTACCGAAATATAAATATCGGTACTCGTACTCTATACCGAAAAAACTGTATTGGTGCATCCCTAAATATAATTCAGAATATCTTCTGCAACTCCGGAATGATGGCTGTAGTACTCTATACTTTGTGTTTTTTTGGGTTGACTGCAGAAGACATATTTTCTGTTCACTGCAGTATAATATCCCAGAACTGTCCACTCACAAAACAATTGGAGAACAACACTGCACAGGAAAGCTATTTTTCAATGTGAGTTCACTTTCAACCAGTCGTGATTTTGATTCTTGCCACCTTCGAAAACATTGTTGCTTGTTTTGTTGGCCATGCACTATTCAGTTATAGGTGTGACACTTCAGCAGTTGCGCTTTCAGTGTAAAACACATTGAGGCTAAAGGATTTAAGAATGTTCACACAATAAATTGTGTGAATATTCACTTCAATCATCCAATCATGTGCAAATGAAATAAGTAAACAGGGATCTGCTTTTCACGTGATTGAATTTATGAAGTGAATCTTCAAACATTTAGGTGTATATGAACATCTCAAATCCTTCAGTGAATCAGTCTAATTGTGTCTATATATAAATATAGCTCATAGACACGGTCTTGAGGTGTATTTAATAGGTCCAGACAAGGGTACCATTTAATTACATAGGCCACTAAAATGCATAGTAGTAAATGCTATGTGGAATAGTCCCAAAAGATTGGTAAACTTGTGTTGCAATGGAATGCTGGAATATGTAAATTGTTAATGGTTTGAAAATGTCTACTCTTGATAAATCATTCTACATTAAACCTGCCCCACAACATTGATAACCCAAAATTCCATTTGATCCTGGTAGATTATCAACAAAAATACTATAGCTGCTCTTTTTTCAAATTTGAGCTTATACTGCATACCATAAATATTTAGGTAAGTGACAAGTTGTGGATTGCTGTGCTATGCAAAACATATGCAAGTGGATACTAACTGCCATAACTCAACATCAACACAAGCAGAAGTCATTATTGACATTACCAAAGTCCTTCTCCCCAACCATGTTGTCTTTAGCTGTTCAAGAGCTTGCACTTTTCTGTTTTCTTATTCAAGATCAAGACACCACTTTTTCTGTCATTTTATTTTATTGGCAAATTATATAAAAAAATCCAATGAGTGGAGATGTTTATATATTTAACTTTTGTGAGAACTTAAACCTTAAAGTGCTGCAGTCATTATAACTTGCTGTGTGGTATATTTGCATCTATGAAAAGGGTAGACTTGCATGTAAATCAGGAATGAAGCAGAGTATTTAATGGCAAAATCAGAGGCTCTACACACACACACACACACACACACACACACACACACACACACACACACACACACACACACACACACACACACAGTCTTTAAAATAATCAGAATTGATGTGGTTTTGTGCTAGTTATATGATTGATAAAAGTATTTCCTTCAAGTAATATCAATTAAAATCTTGTCCTTGGCTTGTGCCCCAACCTGATATTTTTACATCCATATTTTTGTACTGAGAAGGCAGTGGCACCTTATGATGTGCATGAAAATGTGATTTTCACAGATCTTAACTTTTCCTTGTTTAAGTTTTTATTTTCCTGTTTTCAAATTTGACTTTGCTTAAGGGTGTTTACATACTCACTTGTTTGTAACCACCTGATGGGCAATTTATTGGTTTGGGCTCCAAACTATATACATTCTTAAGAACACACTCCTGTAGTCAGGTGATTATCTGTATCCATTCAAGTGGAATATCAAAAGGAGCCATCATCCAGTGAAAATATCGCAAACTTCAACCACATCAAAAATATTCCTTTTAGGATTGGTGAAATGTTTCCATCAGGTGTGTGGCAAGATCCAGGCAGTTACACTATCAACCAGATTTAATACCAAAAAAATGAATACTATTCTTTCCCTTTTACTGCTAAGGAAACAGTGCTTGATCATGGCTCATTTATGAAGAATTCTACAGTGGATTTTTCTGTACTGCTTCAGCAAATTGAATCCTTACAGCAATGCCATGGAAAGGTTGGCTGTAACACTGGAACATTGGCATTATCTACACTACACTTTCTTCAAGCTCATCTGAACCAGTAAATAAAACTGGTTTTCCCTTGGGTACCTCAGCCCCGCAATGTGAAAGCATGCCATGGACAGACTGACTTCTCTTTGTCCATATGATGCTTAGATGTTTGGCATAGGTGTAACAGGTGGTGGTTGCCATCTCTCCCATGTCTACAGAACAGCTACGTTTGGTTTTGTGAACAACAAATCCAGCCTTAGGGTTTGACCCTGAATTTAGTCCCTCAAAATCTGAAGCTTTATTAGTTTTGTCCTCTTGTTTCTCAAGTGCGTCTCTGTGTCTAGACTTTCTACGTTGAGGCTTGACTCCATGTATAACCCTTCCAGTATCTTCTTTATACACCACTTGAGAACAACTGGCTTTGGCTGACTCATTGTTTAGTCTGCATTGCAAAAGCATGCCATTGGGCATAATCTGGCTTCCACTGGTCTGTGAGTATACATTAGTAACTTTTGGAATGTCTGAACGAGCAATACAGCACACCTTGTATTTGACCATCATAACAACAGTAAAAACCAACAGTGTAACCACGATGACTCCTCCAATTATAATTGTTAAAGTGCCTCCCAAGAAATGAGCATGCAGTGACTGGCAGTCTGGGTATGCCTCTGCTGTGGAGAACTGGACACATCCTAAGGACTTAGTAGCAGCCAAGGAGGTTGCAACGTCATAAAAAATGGCCAAGATGCAAAGGTCATAATCTACCCCTGATACTAAGTGCTTCAAGGCAAAGTTCTTGGTTGTGGAAGGCAGAATCCTGTAAAAAATTAAACAATATTTCATTATAAAGAATACAATTATAAGACAGACTGTTTGATCAGTTAACAGGAGGGTTGGTATATGCTGTGTCATTTATCTTCCACGTGATGAAATAAGTACATTTCGACTGCTTCAACAGTAAACTGCTGCCATTAAGCTACCCTTACATAATTTACGGTAATGAACAAGGATTTGTTGGCTTCCTGCTAAAACACTGTAGTCTGTCACTTCTTTGTATTAAAATCTTGAAGAACTCTTTTTTTTTTTTCCCAGTTGTACCAAAAGGATTAATCATAATTTAAAATAGATCTTAAGAGACTTAATATCCGTTGCGACCATATAGCTCTCGGCCACTAACAGAAATAAATTCACAGTACTGTATTGTATATTTTTTTGTTTTGCTCCTAATCCTTATTAGCTGTAATTGGTTAATTTCATCACTATACAAAAAAGTATATGGGGCCACATAATTTTATATTTTTTAGGGAATTAGCTGTTACTGCCATATTGATATTTGGCCTTTCCCATAAACTCAAGTATATGACTCCTCTTTTCCTCTTAGGACCCTTGTGCACACGTAAACAAAACAATATCAGTATCTTAGATATGTCTATATCCATATATAGATGTATACATAAACTGTACAAAGATAAAATTACCCATTGAAAATACAGGTGAAACTCGAATAATTAGAATATCGTGCAAAGTTCATTTATTTCACTAATGCAACTTAAAAGGTGAAACTAATATATGAGATAGACTCATTACATGCAAAGCAAGATAGTTCAAGCCGTGATTTGTCATAATTGTGATGATTATGGCTTACAGCTCATGAAAACCCCAAGAACCCCAAATCCACAACCTCAAAAAAGTAGATTATTACATGCAATCAATAAAACAAGGATTGTACATAGAACAATATCGGACCTCTGAAAAGTACAAGCATGCATATGTACTCAGTACTTGGTTTGGGCCCCTTTTGCAGAACTTACTGCAATTACTTTTGCACGATATTCTAATTATTCGAGTTTCACCTGTATGTATGCCAATGGGATTTTAACTATTCTTTGAATTATTCATGCTTGCATATATAAAAACAAATGTGCATTTAATAGAAATTACATTAGGACAAATGCTGTAAGTTGACCTTAGTTTTCCCTTTTACTGAAGTTATAACCAGCAAAAGAGATCACTAAATACATTGGCCTGTTTCTTGAATCACTATTATTATTATTAAAATAATTATATTTCTTAGCCTTTACTAGCGTTTATGAATGCATTCACAATGGGGAGATCCACTCCAGTTTACTACAAATTGTAAGAATGTTGGCAAACTGTGGAGTCTTATGTGCTGCTGATTTGTTAAAACTTGTACATGTATGTTTTTACTTCCTACCTCTTTAAAAATAAGTGGGAAGGTCTGCCTGGTATAGTGACCTGATCAGCCCGGGAATTATAACAAGAAACTGATAGAAAGGCAGTAAGGCATTCCCATGAGCAGGAAATTGTATTCCCCCCACCCAAATAAAAAAATATATATTTCCTCCAATAGTCACAAGGAAGAAGAATTTGAAATAATAAAAAAAAAACAAATTGAATGAGGTAATTTTGATTACATTATTACAGGATGGCTTATAAGCAATTGTATACTAGTCGGCCGGTAGCTTCTCGAATGTAACAGGGGGTCTAAAATGGCCTGTTAGCCCCGCCCACTCAGGAAACTGTCAAAATTTAAAACAGGCACCAATGCCTGTTTACATACAACGGTCCGGTGGTCATAGAGCCGCCGGATCGCTTGTATGAGATGTCGGTCGGCACCTCCGCAGCGTTGGTTCTGAGCTCCACTGTGCCTGATGTGGGACCAGGACCAGCACGGCGGCTCTGTGACAGGGAATCAGAGGGAGGTCAGCACGCGAACTCCCTCTAATATTTTCTCTGGTGTCAGAATGTAGGAAGTGATGTATTAATGTATAATGCATATTACATCACTTACGCATCCTGCTGTCACTTTCTGGGTTCAGAAGCTGGAGAGAAGCTGATGAAGCAGATCTATGCTTCATCAGCTTCTTTGGGGGTCCCAAGGTGACATTAGGAAGACCCCTGATGTCTCCATAAAGAGGACCTGTCACATCCTCTTTGCTATCACATAGGGAGCTTCTTATCCCCCTATGTGATGACAATAAAGTTAAGTGGAAACAAAAGTTTAAAAAAATTGAAGTCACATAAAAAAGATTTTTTTTTTTTTTTTAAAGACCCCACCTTACATACACACGCCCAAACATGCGTCGGGTGCACATACGTGTGAAAACGATGATTGTGCCCATTACGCCACTCATGTTACATATCACAATGAACGTGAGAGCATGAACAATAATTCTAGGACCATTATTCACTGATAACACTAAACCAATGAGTGGTAAAAGCTTTTAAAGCATCGCCTATGGCCAATTTTGGGAATGGTAGTTTTTTTAGATCTTGCGGGTGCGTGCAATTTTAAGGCTTGACATGTTTGGTGTCTATTCAAACGGCGTGACCCCATCTTTTATATTTTACCACAAAATTGGGTATTAATAATTGTATTATAATATAATGTTTAAAAAAATTCAAAATTTTCTGTAATTTTTACTTAATAGAATAAATAAAAAAAATAACCCAGTTGTGACAATATACCACCAAACAAAAGCTCTATCTGTCCCCAAAATTTTTTATAAAATTCATTTCAGTACAGCATTGCATGACCGAATAAATGTCAGTCAAAGTACCGCAGCACTAAATACTGAAAAATTGGCCAGAAGGGGGTGTAAACATCTGGTCTTTAAGTGGTTAAAGAAGAACAGGGGGCAAAACATTAATTAATCCTTGCAGTGGGGCTACTCCCGCACTGCAAGGGTTAACTGCTAATTTTTGTCTAAGTGCTAAAATAAAACAGTTAGACTCACCCGACCGGCTCCAAGGGTCAGGGGGTATAACTTTTTCTATTTTAGCACCTAGACAAAAACAAGCAGTTAACCCTTGCAGTAATGGGGTACCATAACTGCAAGGGTTAGTAAACGTTTTGCCTGGAGTTCTTCTTCAAGCACTGGTGTTTTTTGGAGCATGTTATTTCCAGAGAGAGTGTTCCTAGTTGAATATAATATATGGCTATCAAATTCTACACTTAATATACACCTGTATTAGCAATGGATTAATACGAATATTGCCAGTGGAGTTGCAAGTAAATAACCAAGGCATTATTATATAGTGTGATTTGTAGGGAATGTCATACTTTTTATACATAGCTACAACACAGTCTGTGGAGGAAACAGCTTCAATATGTAAAACAGGCCTGTTATAGTATATCACTAGACTATGCTTCCAGTTTTGAGCTCAAAAAGGCCCCCATTCACCTAATCTGCTTGTCAAGCCCTAAAATCATTAAACCTGTCACAGCCAATTGGTCACTAATTTGTATGTTCAACTGAATGCTTAACCTTATGTACTGTATATACAACTGCCAGTGTTTTAGTCAAGATGCCTGCTGTGAACAAGTTGGTAAGTTGATTGATGCAGTCATAGGTCACTGCTCCATTGCAGTTGATGCACAATTGCTATGCAACATTGTTTGAACAACCTTCACTGTAAGAAGCACTAGAAGCATCCATGCTTGCAAGTCACAAATACTTGCACTCGGGTTTCCCTGATGTCTCTATTAAGTAAACATTATTTGCAATATACATAGGGATAATTTGTCAAAACTGGAGCAACTGTGTATAGTAACCAATCAGCATCTCTCTTCGGTTTGTTCAGTTATGACAACGAAAGAGAGAAGCTGATTGGTTGCCATGTACAGCTGCTCCAGTTTTGATAAATTCCCCTCATACAATTTGACACACTCCATGTGTGACTTTCACACATGTGGTTCTTTCATCTAAAGAATGCATGTTTAAGTCACAGTCACTAAATGCAGAGCATTTGCAATGCGTTGAGTGCGCAGCTGTCACAAAAAATTGACGCATGGCCACAGGAGTGTTTTGCTGAGCTATTGTATAATTTTTGCCATGCTGATGCTGCTCATGTGCAGATTCTCCATTAGTCTAGCAAAGGATATCCTGCTATAAGTAACATTTGTTCCCTGATTGATTCAAAGATTTAGGCTACATTCACACTAGGTGTGATTAGATGTGTTTATATGGGTTTAAAATGCATTTTCTAAATGCATATACAGTATATAGATCTAACGATATACAATGGATCTATTCACACCTTGCGTTTAGATGCTTTTATCTGCAGTCAGTTTAGCTGTGTTTAGAAAAAATAGAAGTCAGGTGTGTCCAGGAATTGATTTCAACTTGTAAACACACCAAAACACATGTAAACGCAAGACGATATTATTGGCTAAAATCTCATTGGCTACTTCAGTGGACTGTTTCAATGCACAAAGGACAGATGCATCTAAACATATTTGTGTAATGCGTGTCATTTTAATCATCTAGAAGCATAAACAAAGCATCTAGCCTGACAGATTTTGCAGACAGATCTCTGCATAAAAACGCAAATGGCAAGTGTGAATGAAGCCTCAGGGCTTGTTCACACCAAGTGCAGAGCAGAGCAGTTTAAGAGTGCATCAAAAATGTAGCCAATGTATTCCAATGGTATTTCGGGCTCTAGTTCACACCACAGCGTTCAGTTCCAGTGCATGTGGAAAAACTGCTGCATGCCCTATTTTTTATGCTCTGGAACGCACCAAAATGCATGCAAAGGGATCCCAGAGGCTATAGACATAACACTCTGGAACGCACTGGACTACACCTGAAAACCCATTGTAGGTTAAAAAAAAAAAGGCCTGGAACACTTCAAAGTGCACTGCACTGCAAATGCAGAAACTCATCTAGCTCTGGTCCGGATTTGGTGTGAACAAGCCCTTAAGTTTGTTTTAATTATCTTTTCAATCAATTAATTTCCTCATAGACAGGTACAGTTTTGTGAATGCATTGTGATCATTTAATGTATTGTAGTAAACTTTATTTAAGGCTAGTTTGAATAAAACTTGAAATGTTCTGCTATTTATTTCTCTCTCTTTTTTTTATTTTGTAAAAGTGTAAAATACATAGTGGTGGTTATTACTTATTTTGCATGTGTGTTATGTGAAATAGGGTTGGGCTCAATGTTTGAGCTGATCGTAAGTTTGACACGAACATCTCTGGTGTGTGTGTTTGCTGAACACACGAACTATCAGGGCGTTTGGTGGGCTGAACACGCCCGCTGAATGCCGTGCAATGCACTGTGTGCATTGGAGAGCCCTGATTGCCTAAAGCCTTGCACCTGACCAAAGGTCAGGTGCAAGACTTTGCCCAATCAGGGCACAGCGAACTGTGAGAGCCATGATTGGGCAAAGTCATGATGACTCTGCCCAATCATGGCTCACTTGTTACAACTGTAAACAGTTGGAAGGAGTTTGCTGTCACTGCTAGCTCCGCCCAATTGTTTATAAGTTGCTGGCATCTGTCAAAATGGCATTCTGCGGCGGGTGTTCGTTGCAGCACTGGTTGACAGTGCTGCTGTCCAAGGGTGACTCTGTTGCTCCTCCATAGAGTGGAGCCACACTAAGACAGGAAGTGTTGTGCTGGCTGGATTGCCTGGTGAAAATAAAGGGGGAAAAAAGCCTTAAAAAATAACTGCAGCTACCACAATTAAGGATTGGTAAGCTGCAATACATTTTAGTTTTTTGGCTTAAATACGCTTTGAAAAAACTGTATCTATAAATGTAATTTTCAATGGTAGTCAATAATGAATGATATAATTTATGTTATGACGTTTTTGTTAGGCTCATCTTACCTGTACACCAATGTCTCATCAGCTGTGCAATTGTACTGGACCTGGTACATCCACACTACATAGGCTGATCTGTTCATGTACCACCGTACCAATGCAGAGGAAGAAGTTACTTCAGACACTACTACTGCATTTTCTGGTGTCTTTCTTTCCTCTGTGGCATTGGATGTTGTCTTGGATGAAGTAGTGATGTCAGAAGATCCAGGGTCCTGTCTTAGAACACTAGCTGTCCCATTGTTGCGATGAGGCAAAGGAATCATTTTGAGGTCAGCTTGGGCAGTTGATTCTCCAGCAGCATTAATTGCTATACAGGTATAGGCCCCATCATCCCTGATTGTGGTAACAAGTATATCCAAGGTTCCATTTCGGTAGGAAGCAGTCCTAGAAGAGTTTGGCATTATCTTATCATCTGGGGATACCCAATGTATAACAGGCTCTGGGTCTCCAATTGCCCGACATTTGAGTGTTGCCCGTTGCCCTTCAAGTACCCAGAGTTGATGTGTATGTCGAGTGATAAGAGGGGGCTCACAAGTGAACTCTTCCTCTGGTATAGACCAAAAATAACGTCCTGCTAATTGTGGAGGGGAAGCACATGTTTCCATATCATCCTCTCTCACCAGCCGCCGTAACCATAGTAGTTCACAGTTGCAGTGAAATGGGTTGCCACCAAAATTAAGCACTATTGTAGATGTGTAAGGGGTAGGGCTGACCACCCCAGTTTGAGAACGAACAAAAAGAGGGTCTGGAGGTAGTGTGTGTAGCCTATTAGATGTCATGTCTAGTCTGGAAAGTTTGTATAGTTCAGAAAATGTCCCTTCCATTATATAATCTATGAGATTATAGTCAAGATTGAGAGTATGCAAACTAACCATGTTTTGAATATCCTCCCATGGGGCACTAATCAAATTATTATATGACAAGTCCATGTCCTCTAAAGTAAGGATAAAATCATCAAAAGTGGCCACTGGTATTGTCACAAGCTGGTTATTGTTGATAATAAGATGCTGGAGATTCAGCATTCCTCGTAAAGCTTCCTCATGAATGGATGTTAAACGGTTTCCATCCAAGTGCAAAGACCTAAGGCTCTCAAGGTCACCAAAGGCATAAGGTTGAATGGTATCGATTGTGTTTCTTGAGAGAGTGAGGTCCACCAAACCTGTCATGTTGAGAAAGTCTTCTTGTGCTACCACTCGTATGAAGTTGTCGGCCAACCGTAGCTCCACAGTCCTCCGGTCTATGTTAGGTGGGACATAAAGGAGTCCCTTATTGGCACACAGTGTGCTGAGTGATTCCGAAAGGTTTTGGCAAGTACAATGAAAGGGACAAGAATGCACGATGGTCACAAGGCTTCCTACCAGCAGAACACCCCAGACCAACCTTTCCATGGTAGATGAAGTATTAATCCTGAAAAAAAATAAGATATTGTTAAATATATGCTCTGTGTGTTTGCTTTATTAGTTGAAGGTGTTAGTTTTAGAAACCAAAATTATGCCATTCTTAAAGTGTGTACATTGTTATTTGGAAATAATACATTTTTAATACATTATACATTTTTAATGCATTATTAATTAGGAATGATTAAATATATGCTTTAGAAACACAAATATTTATCATAAGGTTGGATGTTTTAACCTTTGGTATAATGTAACGTGATCTTGTAATATCTATAAGTTAATCTAGTTTATAAAGTAATATAATGTTTTTATAAACTCATATACAGTTTTTGTCTACTTGTTAGGTTTTTACCAGCAGTTTAGAGTGCCATGCCTGAGAATTAATTACTTCACAGTCCAATCATCTACAGAAGTTAGGGATTACTTTTTTAAAGTGCCTTTTTTTTTGGGGTTACGCTGGGGATGGGGGCTGGGGGGTGCAAGCAGCTGGTATTGTCTAGGGCGCAAAATAGTCTAGCACCGGCCCTGCTCACACATCAGAATAGAGCGGTGTGTGGGGGCAAGATAGCCATCGCTGTCACAGGAGGCCGGCCAGCGGTGCGGGGGAGGAGTCAGCTGTCAGATAGAGCTCTCCTCCCCGCTCCGCTCGCTCAGCCTCCTGTGATTGCTGAGTGTTTGTAAATAATTGAGATCATAGTATGTTTACTATAATCTCAATTATGAATGTATGGGAGTGATCTACACCCCCTCCTGTTTTAAATATTTTACAATACAATGCATAAAAGAATACAAATATTTAAAAAAATGTAAAAGTTTATAGAAAATAAATAAAAATAAAATATTTAAACATTTTTGAAAAAGTTTAAAAAAAAAAACATTTTCGTTTTCGGCCCGACATTTTTTTTCCATTTCGGTTTAGTTTCCTTTTTTATAATTTCCATTTCGGTGCACCTCTAATTGTAAGTGATTTAATCAGCATTTGAAATACTTTAAAATCCTGTTGACTTTAATATCGCTTTAAATACTTTTTAAAGTGTGGGCACATGTGTACTTTGCGCCTGCCATAGACCTGATTGTTCAACCAGTTAAGGAGGTCACCAAAGCTTACCTGTTTGTCTTAGTATAGGTCTGAATTTAGTTAGCTAGTGCTAATATTTAACTTTAACAAATGCAGTCCAGTCATCGTTGCTGGTAATTTATGTAGTCTGTCCCTTGTGACTGAATGTAATGAGTTAGAATATGAGACCTCTGGAGATGAAGTGTGTAGCAGACATAACTTTACCATTCATTTCATACAGTCTGTACAATCTTGTTTTTTCTCTTGGCATTGTAACAAATATGATGTAAAAATGTAGGGGACCAATAACAAGCTTGCATACATAAACAAGTTTATCGACTGATGCAGATGATATCATGCATCAGACAGGCTATTTGATAGTAATCAATATAACTTATAACCAAAAAATGGTTCCATTTTATGTAAATTAATAACTAAAAACCACCAGTGGATTGGTACCTACAATTTGTTAAGTAAAATATTTGTGGATGTCAAGAATTAGTAAAAGCAGCAACACAAAGTGTAGGTGCTCGAGTGATGAAAAGATACAATCGTTCTAATACAGCACTTCCCTCCAGAATTTGAGTGTTCTCTTGAACTATGACATTCACTGCCTTGCAACTCTCTCTAAACTGGGAAAATCCTTGCACAACACAATAGATTAGATGGCAATCACATTGGCATTGCGTGATATTGTCAATAAAAAGTGTATTAAAAATAGACTAATGTTTTAGGCAAAAAGCACATGTAGCTTAAAAACCATCCAAGGAGAGTCCATCTCTATCTGCTGGATACCAAGTATCCAACTGTTGAATCCATTCAGCAACACATAGTCACTGGCTCGAGCCTGCAGTATGGCTTTTGCGTTTCAAGGTCAAGCCCTCTGTTTGTTTTGTTTTTTGTTTTTTAGAGCTGCCTGATTTGCATACACTTATGTTAATAACTATCTCTCAGAAGCTTTAAGGGCCTTTTCACACCACATGGTCAGGGCCGGATTCCCCACAAGGCCACGGAGGCCCTGCCTCGGGGAAGCGGGGAGCAGAGGGGCGGCAGCGGTGTGGAATCCCCTGACGCCCGGAACATGCAGTTCGGGGCGCTGGGCGGTAAGTTGCTTTCTACATTTTGGGAAGGCAGGACTAAATGTAGTGTGAGGAAGCCGCTTGTCCGTTTACAAGTGATCGCCGCGATGTCGCCGCGATCGCTTGTAATGTGTCTGCAGCCTGTCTGTCCTCCCCCCGCACCTACCTCTCTCCTCTGGCTCCATCCTCGGGACTCCGTCCTCCCCCGGCCTCTGAGTCTCTCTCCTCACTGGCCGCCGATGCAGGGAGCAGAGCGGCAGGGTTAAAAGTAACCCTGCTGCTCCATGTAAACAGTGAGAGGGAAGAGCAGTCTTCCCCTCTCAGCTCATAATAGAATTCACTAGCACTCGATATGTGCAAGAAGTAAAGCACTTTTTATTCAATCGTCACATGCGTCAAACAGCCAACGTTTCGGGGCCACACAGGGCCCCTTCTTCTGGGCAACATAGGTCACGTTGTGCATTACCGTGCAATAATCGCATAGAATCATGCAAGTAACACACGGAGGTGGTGTGAATGGGCCCTAAAATCCATAAACAATTAACAATATTGGCATGTTCCTTATAAACATATGTACATTGAATAGCAATCACATAGTGATCAAAGAGTGGGGTTATCATTAATACTATACACAAATATATCCCAACTGTTCTTGTACTTATGATGATATGTAAAAGTACATGTACATTTGAGAACAGTTGGGAAATAATTTTACACTTGAGCAAGCTTATATTTGTTCTTTGCTTATGGATGTTTAATTGATGTTTGGGAGGTTCCTGGTGATGCTTTTTGACAACGATGAGGGCTTTTTCAAAGTAATGTATGTGCAAGTTAGGCAGATCTCAGATAAAGGGCTTGCTCTTAAAACAGGTAAGCCATTATGCATACATAAGGTAGTAACATAGAGGGGTACAGGTACACTTAAAACAAGGTCACAAAGGGACTCGGGTACACACACAGACACACAAAGGTTGATCTTGATGGGCCTGTGTCTTTATTCAACCTCCAATACTATGTAACTATGTGATGCTGAACAGATTTAACAGTTGGACACTTGAGGGTTGATTTACGAAAACCAAATAGGATGCTCACATAGGAAAGGGAATTCTCACTTTGCAAGAGAGTTTTTCTTTAGCTTAGTGAATGTGGTGGATCTCTGCTGACGTCAACTATC